GTCTATGTGAGTCAGTTCGTTATCAGACTTCCGCTGCATAAATGCTCATCCTATATTGGTTGATCTTTGGTTCTGCCCATACTCATTGAAGTATGTAACACAAACTCTCCACAAAGCCAGCCCGTGTATCTGGCCAAATTCGGGTTCCGGTGGTTTAGAAGCGATACTGGGCTTCAGAGAGAAAAGAAAAGAATTAAGGAGCTTGCACGGACGTTTTCTGCTCAAGATGGACAAAAGAGCAGTCAGATACATCCCTGTCTGGCTGTCCTTCTCGTGCTTGTCTGAGTGCACCCTCAAAGGAATGTGCCTATATCTATCCCAAAATGGGCAAAGATTCATGAAAAAAGGAACAAAAAAGAACAACTCTACTTTCAGAAAGGCTGGCACCCCGTGAAAACGGGCGCCTGTCTCTCTTCTGGGCACGTAGTCCCCACTTGTTTTGCTGGCAGTCCGTGATGATAGGCGCCAGTAACTGGTTGGGGGCTTCTTGCCCCCACAGGCATTCGCCTAGATGTATGCAGCCTGCTTTCGACGGTAGGTGTGTGCACCCAAGTCCCACTTTGAGTGTGTCCTGAGGGAAACGGGCTACCAGATACTTTCGGGGGAAAGAAGAGATACTAAGCAGATTTGAGATGGGCCGCTACATCTTGAATCCAGAGGCTGATAAAGTTCGGCAGTGGAAGACTTAGCACTCACTTAGTATCACGTCCTAAGTGTTTGTTAGAGTTGAAAAGAAAACAAAAAAAAAGAAACGGCTGTAGGAACAGTTGAAAAACGCTCTGCCTTCCTGGCAGGGCACCTAAAACGAAAGACCAGAACTCAAAGACTTCCCTCGAATGTGACCCGGGAATGTGGCCACAGCCATCCGAATGAAAATCCAAAGCAAATGCTTCTCGTTTTTTTTTTTGTTTTTTTTTTTAAGGCCCAACCAATTCAATCCTATCGAATCTGGACAGGACAGCCTTTCAGGCCTTTTTTATTGTCATTATAGTATTACGGGGAACCCCGTAGCAGCCACATCCGTGCTCAAGCCTCCAACGAGGGAACATGCGGGAGCTGCACCCACCAGCAGGTGTGATACCTGCTACAGCAGGTGGGTGATACCGGCCAGGGGTCAGCCGGTAGCATCAGGACCGAGCTTCTTCGATTGGCCAGCCACCGTGCCTCCTCTCCGGTCCCCGCCCCCTATGAACATCAGCAGTCTCTGCTCAATGCCACTGGTGGGGACCAACGGTATATCTCTAGGTGGCAGGCGCCAAGCTTGCCCAGGAAGGTGCATGAGGCCAATGGGGATTGAACCCAACACCTCCTGAATGCCACTTGCGTGCCTTACCAACTGAGGGCACGCTCACACTGGGTACCAAAACCGTAAAACTTCCAAAAAAATGTGCACACGGCTGGTCACACACAATGGTTCCGACCCCAAACACGCCATTCGCAAACCCATTTGTCAGCGGCCTGCCTGGCCGCGGGTTTGAGGAATTTGCGGTAACCTCCAGAGGTTACCGCAAAATCCTTATTCCTTTTTTATTTAATTTTCGTAAATGAATGCAAAGTTGAAAAGGGAACATGTACGTTATATATTTGGGGTTACTTCTGTGTGACTGGAAACCCCAAACAGCAGCACCCTGATGGCACGGTAGCGACCGTGTCTTTAGCGAAATGGGAACGCGGTGTGAACGCAGTGTGACCTAAAACGTCCCAAATACCCCAATTCGGCCCAACCCATTTTCGCAATTTATACGGATTTGCTACCGCAGTGTGAGCGTGCCCTGAGCTAGGCCGCTGGAAGGGCACCGAAAACGAAAGACCAGAACTCAAAGACTTCCCTCGAATGTGACCCGGGAATTTGGCCACAGCCATCCGAACGAAAATCCAAAGCAAATGCTTCTGGTGTTTCCTTGGTTGTGCTTTCTTTTTTTTTTTCCTGTTATAGTTTTGCTGCCAGTGCCAGCTACGAAGGGGTTCTGTACATACATGTGGAAACACACGGGCAGATTGGACCACTAGGAAACGTTCTAGTTCAGTTGCCCGTTTTCAATGAGCCCACAAGCTTACTCCCTCGTTGCTTCAACAGGCCTTCCCCGAGCCCCGATTTTTGCTTGTGGCAACAATATCATTTTTCTGCAAGGCTGGCCCCGTGTACTGGTGGTTTAATGCCCGGCTTGGTTACAGTGTAGCATAGTGTTTAGTTGGTATGGTGTTTGGTCTGTCTGTGTAATTCCTTGAAAAAAAAGGATTCACTTTTCGCCTGTGTCGGACTTAGATGCTGAGTCTCTGACCAACTTCATCATGCACATGAAGCCACACTGGCCCATCTTGTTATTATTATTATTATTGTATATTGTAAGAAGAAGTTGGGGAAGTTAAAAGGAGGTTGGAGATGGTGGCGAGATGAAGGGGTTTTGACATTGGCCTTTGCTGGTGTTCATCTTGTTCTTCTTCTTCTTCTTCTTCTTCTTCTTCTTCTTATTTCTTCTTCTTCATTTGACTCTTTCTCTTTCCAAGTTACTTTCATTTCAGTGGCAATTGAATGACATTTTCTTTGAGTTATTGCAAGGTAGTCAGGATCATAACAGAGGAAAAGAGAGGAAGGCAGTCAAGGTGTTTTTTTTTTTTTTTTCCCTTTTTCTTTGTCATGTTGTTGTCAGTCCACTTCAGAGGCGTTCTCCCCCCTCCCTCTGCCCCTCTCCCATCCCCCTCGCCGCTGTCCCCCACCTCTCTCTGCCCCCCCTTCTTGCCCCCTTATGCTCGGGCCTTCTTTTCTCTTTAATTAATATCATCATATTCTGGTTGTGGTTGACAGGTTGCCAGAGGCGCTAGATAGACTGACGGTAAAGCTGAAGCACATTTCCAAACAGGCAGGTGGGAGAAAGGTCAATGTGATCACACATTCGATGGGAGGTCTTTTGTTCAAGTCCTTCTTGGCAACACACAACAAGGTGAGCATTGTCGGGAGATCGATTGTAGGTACAAAATCCTTGGGGTTCTAGGTGATGTGCATGAATTGCTTACTGTGTGTGGGTGCGCACGCCTGCACGCGCACGCGCGGCGCGCGCGCGCGCGCAAGAGAGAGAGAGAGAGAGAGATGTAATGACATGCCAAACACGGACTGAGACACAGCTGATTTCTGAGTTTTGCTCATGGAATGAATGCCTTGCTGAGTTTCCCGCTTGTTGCTGAGTTCTCTAAGCCTGTGTGTGTGCATGATTGCTTGTCTGCATGCCTGTCTGAGTGCTTGTCGGCTTGAGTGTGTGTGTGACCTGCAAGGGCACCTGTTCGTTCAGAGGCCCAAAGGGCCGGTACTTACGTGTGGCCGTGACATTGAGGGTTGCGGTGGGTAAAACACTCAAGTGGCGGGGAAATACGCCCGTGACACTTGCTGCTGGGGGAAAACACTCAAGTAGCAGGTACGCCGGTACCACACCAGGTAGAGGTAGATGTGCAGGGTACTCAAGGCGGAGCAGAAGAAGACAAAAGTTGGCATTTTTAGAGGCCCAGTAGTTGTAAGCTAGGTGTAGGCGGGTACCAGTCCAACCAGTCTGAGTCTAGGGCTTGCACGGGCAATATTAGAGTCTGCAATGATGTTTTCCTCCGAAAGGGAGGACGTACCGGTTGCTTGGAGGCCGCGCACCCTAGGAAATCACTCACCAAGAGGCAAGCAGGCCGCTTTATCTCCAGGAGGAGCAAGTTTGGCGACACACTGGTTGGAGCGCTGGCTGGAGCAGCGCTAGCTTGGAGCAGCGCTGCTGGGGAATGATCATGGACACGGAGGAGGGAGAAGACCAGGACTAGGAAGGGGGAGCACCAGAGGTACTTACCTGGCTATGGTGGTTGCCATCTTCATCACCTTGGTGGGCGCTGCAGCAGGAAGGCCCCAGTTGGGGTGGAGCTACGCCAAGAAGCTTCGAGGCAGAGTATGGCATGGCGCCCTGAGCTAGAGCAGCCATAGCTGCTTTGTGTTTTCCTTTGGAGAGCAGGGCTATGCCCTGGTAGTCCGCCATGACCTTGGCCTTGGAGGAAGGAGGAAGAAGGGAGGCCATGGCTATGGTGGACCTCATGTGATACCTGCAGTAGAAGTGGGATTTGGACATTGGTTCTGATTCAGCCATTCAACATTGTTATTAGTATTTGTTTGAATAAGAGGGGAAGATTTAAGGAGGAGGAGAGTGGTTGGCGAAGAAGA